TCCTGAATCTCTTCTGGTTCCACATAAATTTGAGAATTTTTCTTTCTAGTTCTGTGAAGAGTGCTGTTCATATTTTAATTGGAATAGCATAAAATCTATGTATCACTTTTGGTAATATAGCCATTTTGACAATATTGATTCTGCCTATCCAGGATTTTTCTGCATCTATTGAGATTATCGTGTGATTTTTGCCTTGCTTCTGTTTGTGTGATACATTTCATCTGTTGATTTACATATGTTGGACCATTCTGGCATTGCTGAGCTGAAGCTGACTTAGACACAAAGGATAATCCTTTTAATAATTTGTTGTATTTTGTTTACAAGTGTCTTGTTGAGAATGTTTGCATCTATGTTCATTAAGGAAACTGGCCTCTAGATTCAGGTTAAGTTCTTGCCTGATTTTGCTATCAGGGTAACGCAAGCTTGCAGGAATTCATTTGTTTGTTAGTGCTTTTCCCTTTTGTTTTTGTGCAAGAGTTTGAGAAGTATTCGCTTTAGATTTTCCCTGATATTCTGGTAAAAATTTGTGGTGAATCCACTGCATGGTGAGCTTTTCTTAGGTGGTAAAGTATTTTTTTAAAACTGCCTGTATTTCATTGCCTCTTATTTTTCTGTTCAAGGTGTTTGTATCTTCTGGGTTCAATTTGATGATTCATATGTGGCTAGAAATTTATTCATTTTTTCTAGGTTCTCCAAGTTATTGAAATATACAAGTTTTCTTTTTTTGAAATTTTATAGTCCTCTGGATTTGAGCAGTGACCCTTTTGATTTTGCCTTTTTCATTTCTAACTGCATTAACATGGAATAGTTTTTCATTCTTTCAGTAATTTGGGGTAAGGGTTTATCAATCTTGTTTATCCTTTCAAAGAATTAGATCTTTGGTTCATTGCTTCTTCTTTTCTATCAATTCCACTAATTTCCACTCTGATTTTTATAATATTTTACTTACTTTTGGATTTGCATTGTTTTTTCCTCCTTCATTAGGTTATTTAGGATTGCTCTATCCTTTTAATGTTTCTATTCACAGGTATAAACTTCCTTCTTACAGCTGCTTTAATAGTGTCCTATAGGTTTTTTTATGTTGTGTAGTGATAACTCAGTTGTTGAACTCAATTTGTTCCAACTCTGTGTTCAAACAATGAAAAGTTGGAGAGCCGAACATATTTTTCCCATAATAAATAATGGAAAAACCAAATAATTGGTTCTGAGACCCCAAAATTCTACTTATAAATTCATTTTTCCAGAACTTTAACACATTTCACAATGATTTCTTTCTCTACTTTACATGGTTCTCACAATTTTTCTCTTAGCTTTACTGCTGATATCACTAACTTTCTGTGGAGCCACAGTTACGATATTCTGTGCAAATGAAGCTCAAGAAAAAAGTAAAATGATGAATGTTAACACACTGACAAACCACTCTGTATTGTCCGGGTGAGAGCAGTGTTTAGGCTGAAGCATCAACCCTCGTGTCCATGTGTTACTCACTCTTGGCCTGTTTAGCTTTTTTCAAGTCAAATTTTCTTTTCGATTATCAAAGTTATGAACACCAAGCAGATTTTTTTCAAACTTTACTATTTGGGTAGTGGAAAGTTTGAGCTTGGAACCATTTGATAAGCAAGGTATCACTGTACTTCCATTATCATTTGATTCTAGGAAATTTTCATTTCTTTTCTGACTCTGTGACCCATTGTAGTATTTATTTAATATATATCTGTGATTTCTGTTGCTGTTGCTCTTAGTTTTATTCTGCTATGATCTGATAGTATATAAGATTATGTGATAACTTCAACTCTTTTGAATTTATTTAAATATGCTTTTTGGACTTTGATATAGTTGATTTTGAGGGGGAAAAAAGCTCCCATCCTGCTTAGAAAAAATATGCATTCTGTTGCAGGAAAAATTCTGTAGGCATCTGATAATTCCATCTGTTCAGTGGTGTGGTTTCATTATCTCTCAGCTGGCAATGTCAAAATACTCCCAGATAGTTTCTTTAGATATGGTTCAACAATTAAACACATTCCAGACCCTCTTGCCTCAAAGAGTTGGACAAGAAAAGCCAACAAAGGTGCCAAAGGTTTATTTGAGAAGTGAGAGGTGAAGGGGTAAGAAAAGAACAAGCTTAGTAGAGTGAACTTGGCCTGAACAAAGAGAGAAAGGAATAAAAACAAAAATGAAAGTGCGCTCTGCATAGGAGACAGAGTGGGTTATCATGAATCATTATAGTTGATTTCTTCTCCATCCCTAGCCTGCCATGTGGAAAGATTCACTTTCAAAGTAAAACCACACACTCCATTTACAGCTTTCTATAACATGGGCATGAAGCAGTTGAGGGGCCAGTGCTACTTGTCTATTCTTTATCACTGGCATTGAAAACCTTCTCTGGGCTTACTTCTTGCTTGTGAAAACAGATCCTGCCCCCAGAATCTGGGGTTATGCTCCAGACTACTCTGTTCTTTTCTCTGTGTTGTCTTCAATTTCTCTGTAATTTCTGACTTTCCTGTCAGCTCTTTCTTGACTCCCAGATATCTCTTTCTCTTTTCTAAGTTGTTATTTTCCAGATATATTGATTCTAGGTCCTAGGGAAGTTGTGTTTTGCTGCTGCCTTTTACTCCACCATTACAGATTAATTTACTTATTTACCTTGAACCACATAAGAGACTGGAATTATAACATTTTTGGCTTTCAAGGTTTCCAGTATTCTCCTGTGGGTCTCCCATTTTGGAGATCACATGGTAACAGAAGCTGTGTGGCCTTGTTCTATACCTTAAAAATCAATATTATTTATACTAAAGATAAAAAACATATGACTCCTAAATACATGCAGAAAGCATGAAAAAAATCAGTTTCTACTAATGATGAAAACTCAGCAAACTAGAAATACAATGAACTTTCTTCAACTTGATAAAGAGCAACTACCAAAATCACTATCATGATTACACCTGAAAAGTTTAATGCTTTTATCTATGATGAAGAATCAAATAAGGATGTCCACATTTACTACTTCTATTCAGTAAGGCATTAGGCAAGAAAAAAATAGAAAGATATTTAGATTGAAATAATAAAAATTGTCTGCAATCACAGCATGTTGTCTAGGAAATATCAAATAATTCACAAAAGCACCACTGTAACTGATAGCATGCTTTTAACATACCAGAGCAATATAAAAATTTTATTTCTATATCCTAATAATAAAATATTGGAAACTGAAATTTTTATAAATATCATTAACAGTTTTTATCCAAAACCATGAAATGATTAGGTGTAACCCTAGCAAAATATGTGTCAGATCTATATGCTGAAAACTATAAAACAGTGATACAATTATTCAAAGAATAACTGAATAAATGGAGATATGTACTATGCTCATGGTTTGGATTATTAAGATGCCAGTCTGATCGTTAGAATGATCTGCATAGTGAATAAAATTCTAGCCAAAATCCAGTAGAATTTTTTAATAGAAATACACAAAGTTAACCTAAGATCTATTTGCTTCATAGAATTGTTCTGAAGAGCATATGAGATAATTGCATAGAATTTGCTACAAAGCTTACCATTCAGTACATAATAAATATCAGCTATTAGAATAAAATATTTCGTTCCCTTTGGCCAGTGTAATGACACTACATTTCCTGCAGTACATACTGAGACGTATCCTGTTGGGTTCAGTGTTCATTAGCACCTACTCTGGATACAGCATGTACACATGCTGAAACAACAATGAACAAACAAACACATTATGAGAGCCCATTGAGTTTCCATTCCAGTAGCAAAATAGGTATTAACCTACTTTTATACAACTCTGTGCTTATAATTCTGAAAAATATTTTGAAAAATTAGGGAATTTCATGAGTGAGAATATGGGAAGTTTAACCTAGTCTAGACATCTGGACAGTTATAATTTGAACTGAGCTTTATAGGGTGGAACTGGGATGTGAAGAAGGGTCTAGCCAGAGGCAGCCATCCATGGAAAGGTCCTGCGAAAGTGAGAAGGCCAGTATAATTGGAGTGTAGTGAAAAAGAGAGATCAAGATGCAGTTGGAGAGGAAGGCAAAAGTTGGATTATACAGTAGTTGTTTATCTTTAAAGGTATCAAATATGATCAAAATATTCATATGTGTGTGTGTGTGTGTGTGTGTGTGTGTGTGTACCGGTTCCCCAAAATGAATGTAAAAAGAACAGTGGCGTGAAAGCCACAGAAACATTTATAGCAGGGGTCTGGTAAATGGAGGATTAACTTATGCATAATTGTCTTTCTGTATGACAGCTATATTTTGAGAACCTAAGTTTAAGGCACTATATTGAGTGTTGAAAATTTAACAATGAAAAAATCATAGATTTATGGTACAGCTAATGAAGCTTAGATGTTAAGATCTATCATTGCACAGGCCCTTGTGAGTACTAGTAATAATAGGAAGGGAAAAACTAGTTATAATCAGAATACAATTCTAAGTAAAATTTCTGATAAATTGTCTAAAGAAGTCTCACAGAACATGGATCTTAATCTCTAAGTTTCCAATAATGTTATGACATATACATATTTATATATAATTTGGGAATTTGCAGTTCTATATTCTTCCCTTAATGAAGGCTTTCTAGATTATATTAGTTTTAAGACTCACAAAACCCAGATCTACTTTGTTTGAAGCCCTTTTAGAATCTTACAAGGAAAGCAAATAAGTAAACAATTTCAGTATAGTATGACAAGTATTGTGATATAGGAAGGTACCTGATCCAGATTGGATGGGATGATGGTAAAAAGAAGGGAAACTTGAACCTGAAAAATCACAGCAATTAGCAGCACAAAAGTAAGGAAGATTGCAGATTATTTTTAGGGCCATTGTAGGTGTATCTTTGGGCCAAACATAAAGTTAATAGCTCTTTGGTTACCACAGAGACAAAAATCAATATCTACTATGATTTTACAGAAAATTACTAATTTAGACTAAAGGGCAAGAAAATCTTTTATGGTTTTCCTCCGTCTGTTCTGCCTATTATAGGAAAGATCAAAGAATTAAATAAAACCTTACCAGGAAGTAACAGAAGGCAAACCCAGATAAGGTAAGTGTGTATGAAAAGCACTTACTTAAAGTCAATGATTTGAAAAAATAAGCCAGATAAATGGATTTTGCCTTTACTATGAAGCATGCTTTGAAGTATAGACATATATCTTTAGTATTCCTTTGAATTTAATGCTCCCAAGAAAATAGTTCTCCAGGTCAATCTAGTTCTAAATATTTTAGTTTTTAATATTCATTGTAATTTTCAGATTTTTTAGTATGTAGAGTAAGACATGATCACCCATGCTTACCCCTCTTAATTGACAGGGTTATATGGTAGTTTGGGTTTCTGTACCAACGATTGTCTGTGGGTACAAACACATGAAACCCCAAAATGGAGCTATCCTACACTTACTATAACTTTTCTTTCTCACTTAAACCTATGCTTCCAGAAATAATGCTATGGTAGATTATCAATCCTAATTTTTTCTAATAATTCCATTATATCAATATTATCTTAAATTTTAAAAATCACTGTGAAAAACCTATCAAACAGCTTTAAAAAACAGAGAGAACAGAGAGTGATGAACCCATCACTCAATTTTTATTAATTGAGTGTCATTTTACTAATTTGTGTCAATTTTGTTTCACCTATACCCTCTCACCCACTCTTCTGCCCACCTGTGAATAGACATTAAGGTTATGGCCAAAATTATTTTCTAAACCAATGCAACAATAAACAATATGTGTTAATTTTTTGTATGCTTATTCTTGAAACCTTGAGGCCAAGATCACTGGAGTGAGTGAATATCAATGGGGTATTATCTGAAAAAAACAACTGGGAAGGTAGATGTATGGCCTATACTAGATTACAGGAGAAAAATCTAAGTGAAAAACTAAAATCTGGAAGTTAGTTGTTTTGTATAGCCAGAGGCTTAGTTTTAATGAAAACCATTCATTAAAAATACACGTTCTCAGTTAACATAAGCTCTAGCTTGCATGTCAAGCTAGTAAAATAGAACTTTAGAGCTATGTAGTTAGGACACTAATTGGGAACTATCAAGACTGGAACTTTATGGCACCTTTGAAGGATGGTCTCAAGGTAATTATTGGAATATAAGTTTTTATATAGACATTGTAAAAATTAGAGAAATGTGAGCTGTATTTGAGAAGGTCCAGATTGTATTCACATTCTGTTGGTGTGAAATCTCTGAAGATTATCAGATGTTTGCATTATTCAGACCTAGTTATAAACTAACATGCTTTATCAATAAAGAAAACTGTGTATATTTTTTCCTGGCTCAGAAAAAGAATTCATGTCTTTTCAAACTCTCTGAAGTGTTAGTTGAAGGCTTCTGAACTATGGGTCTCACTTCATTCCTAAGAGTTCAGAATTTTAACTTCTTGATTAAACATTGTATGCTACAAAGTATATTTTATTGACTACCTGAGTTATTGCATTAATTATGTTAAGTTTTAATGCCCCAATTAGTGAATCCGGAAAAAAGAAGAACAAGTCAAAAAAACATTATTAGGGGAAAAAATCCCTTTTGTTGGAATTGAATTGGAGGTAGGAGATAGGGGATTTAAAAAAATAGAAGGCTGAGGTTATCATTTAAAATGGATGGCAAAGAAGGTAATAGTATAGTCAGCAAAAAGAATTTCTGAGAGGGAAAATGAATTTGGAGGGATGATGGATTCAGTTTTGATTATTCTCCTTTTGGTGTTCAGAAGATTCTTGGAGTCAGAACTGTTGGTTAGATGTGTTGATTATTTTGTTGTTGTTGTTGTTGTTGTTGTTGTTGTTTTTCTAGGATTAAAGGTTTAACTCAGAGCCTTCATGCTTAGCTTTATCTTCAGGCTCCTCACCTTTTCTTTGAGTCAAATTCTTGATAAGCTGCCCAGGCTGAGCTTGAACTTTCAATCCTCCTACCACAGGTCCCCAGGGATGTTGATTTTAGAGCATCTCATATAGTGTTATAGGCTGAAGTCATTTACATGAGTCATCCATTGGTGTTTGTAAAATAACTCAAGGCAAAGGAGTTAGTCTGAGAATATCTTCTGACTTAGTGTGCACAAAGGTAACATGAGGCTGGAAAGAACTTGTCATAGATGAGGGAGGCTAAAGCAGTGGCCCAGAAGAGGTCAGTCTGAATTTTCTTGTGTTCTTCATAGTGACTCCAGTATTAAAGGGAAGTTAAATATCTTTGTGATTTTTGTACTTGAATAAATGGCTGCAATGATTTGAGGAAATGATTTGTTATATTACTTTTATAATTATTTTATAATTGAATACTATATATATATATATATCTACACACATTTTTTTTATATATATGGAACTCATTACTTTCCTATAAAGACTATTATCTTATTGAGAACTTAATTATGTTCATGTGCCTCATCTAGATAAGGTACAAGGGAATTGTAAAGAAATGTCAAGAAAATACATATTTCAAAAAAACACCTTGAGAGCCTCACATGAATGAGTACGACTTCTCGGAACCATATAGATGATGGGGGCAGGTGAACTAACATAAACAGGTACTTGCTCCCTGATATTATGGAGCATCCCTTACATGTCATAACAGAAACTTGTCATGATACTCATTCTTTCAGACAGGAAGCTGAGGTTTAGTGCAAAAAATTGCATACCAATTTGGAAGAAAATTGAAGTGTCAGATATCTAATTTAGAAATAAGGTTTTCAGGGCCAGGATGTAGCTCAGTGGTGCTGCACCTGCCTCACAAGTGCAAGGCCAAGAGTTTGATCTCTGGTACTGGAAAAATAAAATAAGGTGTTCATAATCAAGTGGATAGGTGGGAATTGTGTGGACATTTAGAAGATATAAGAAAAGCAGACACACACTGTTAAATGTATTTAATGCAGAGTGTTCCACCTCATAAAATCAAAATATACATTCTTTTCAGCAGCACATGGGTCATTCTCCAAAAACTGGATGCACATTGAGGCCATACTCTTAAGTGAAATTAATAGCACACACATGTGTAAATACCAAATAGTTTCTCAGGTGTGGAAATATAAAAGTATAAATAAGGGTCAAAATGTATAATTGATTTTGTGTAATAGGAAGAAAAAGTCTAAAGGAGTAGGGGAAGTGGGAGGGGTAGGGAAAAGGTAAGAAGGGAAAAGAAAAAATATGAGAAAAGGAAAAACATGGAAACAAAGTCTTTGTAAATAGGGTGGAGGGGGTGAAGAGGGCAGAGGAATAAGGAAAAAATAAGAACCAAGATATGTTATATAAAGGTACAAGATCCCAATGATTAATGTAACTGTATTATAGACCTAAATTGTACCAATAAACTTAATGGAAAAAAATTAAAATAATTCCCAAACAAAAAATGTACTTAATACCACTAAATGTTGCAGTTAAAAATGATGAAAATTATAAATGTTGCATTATTTATATTTTACCACACCAAAAAAGGCAAAATTTTGAATATTGAATCTAGGTAATATATATTTAGAGATTCATTATATTCTACTTATCTAGACTATAAAATTATTATCTAATTTTTTAAAATTTTCTAATAGATTTTAAAATTAGTAATTTTTAAAGGCAAATTTAAATGTATGCAAAGTTTATTCTGACACATGAGATTTAGAGACATAAAATAACTGTTCTACAACATCTACACAACAATCTAGTTACTTGAGAAATACTACATCCATTTAACCAAGTAGTAAATATGAGATCATCAGTCATAATACTTTCTAGCAGTTTCAATATATAATGTTTTTATGAAGCACTTTTACATTTGAGTGTTCATTT